TGCTCAAGAGGCCTCCATTCCACCTGCAGTTCGTCTTCACACATTCAAAACATCGGTAGCACTTGTTACTCTTATTGCTAGTGCTACTCGGTCCTTTCAAGATTTCATTATTTTTTAGTAAGAATCATACCATCCTCAGCACAAGTTGCCATCAACTTTTCATGGTAAACTTGCTCTTATTTACTCTTAAGTTGAGATTTCCATGGTAGGAAATCAATTGAAGCTAAAATGTAGAAACAAGTAGGAAAATCTATCGACAAAAAGAAATGTAAATTAAGAAGAGATTTTATGGATAAAATAACTTACAATTAATTAATATTTTCAAAACCAAATAGAAACATTTGCTATGCTCCAATAAAGTATATAGCTTGCATTACCATCAAACAGCAAAAATTCACAAAAATTTTGCTAAATCCCTAAAATTACTAAACTTAAGAGAGTCCTGTACAAGTCAGTGAAGGGCTTGAACCTCTAGTTTGTCCTAGCAAGTTTTACAGCCCGGCAAAATCAATAAGAAATCCTATATACTAAAATATTCATCAATTATATTCCAAACACCGACAAATCATCAAGCTTAATAAAGTCGTTCAACCGATGTATTTTATAAAATATCATTTTGATCTCAATGAATCCCACAATTGGATACTTGGATTAAATTACCTTGAAGATTTCAAAATTTTAATTATTCGCAAAACAATACATTAACTCTAAGTTTCTTATGCAAAATCCATGGATGTACAATCAAATTTGATCAAAGAACAATTTCAAAATTTCTCAACCAACTTGACCAAACCTTCAAATTAAACGAAGTCAAATTGAATCAAGCCAATACAATAATTGACTAGATAGAACAAGAGGATTTTTTCTTCTAACACAAGTCAAATCCCAAGAAGAGCTAATGATGAAGGTAAAAAATTTAAGATGTGATGCACCGAGTTGTATAGTGCATCCTATTGTACGAAAGATTATCTTAGTACTCATTAAAATAGTTCGAAATAATCATTATCAAATTGTGTTTCTTTAGAAGTAGACTTAATCAAAAGCATTAAAGAAAGTCAGATAATTAAGACTCGTTATGGACCTTCCTCAATCCAAAAGGTTGTGAGCCTCAACTGTTTGGTTGTCTTGCCTATAAGGCAAAATCATAAGATTCACTCTTCTTTAAAATTGATTTAGTACGGACCATATCTCCTTAAATTTCTATGGTCTTAAATACCACCATTGCTGCCAAGTCAAGTTAAATCCTCACCAGTCTTGTGAAAACACTAAACATATAAATAAATCATAAACCTTGGACTAGGTCCATAACTAATATAGTAACTTCAAGTCCAAAACAAACTCATATTCTATTTAATCTTATAAGCAGGCCCAACACCATAAGTCTCACCAAACATTAAATATCATTGATGAGCTTCTATGATGTGAGCCTTACACTCCTAGAATTGGGACCCACTTTCTTCTAATGAACCAAATGCCCACAAGATCATGTAAATCAAACAATAAAATAGTCGTGTTTAAGACAATTCTTTGAATCCATTATGTTCCGACACAAAAACAGAGACAGCTCGAGGTTTTCTATCGAATGCACTTCATGGATATGCCAAAATGTCCTCTACCATGGAGATGATAGCCTTAGCAACAAACCCTCAAAGATCATCTACAGTCAAATGTTTAACATGGCCCATAACCTTAAGGAATATCCTGCAACACTCAAAACTTACCAAGCCATGTGATTACTTGAGGGCTAGTATAGGGTAAATTCGGGGGTATTGACATGCATCAATTTTATGTGATTTTACATGTTATTCTCCTTGCATTTTACTTGTTATTCTTATGTATTCATCACAAATTTACAATTGAGAAGAGTATTTAGACAAATGTCCAATGATGGTTCATAACCAAAATGAATGGGACATCAATTTGAATCACTAAATTAATCACATTTTGTGTCTGTAAGATAATCCCAAAATAATTTGATCAAGCATGGTGCACTAAATTTATAATAGCCACATAAGAATATATTTAAGTCATTGATAGTCGTACTCGCCCCCTTAAAATAGTTTGACTCAAGTTGAACTCTTTGGATCCCATCGAGATAAAACAATAGTCCCTAAGCATATAATCCCCAAATCTACTAGAGATAACTAATAGAGGAAAACCTATGACTACTAATCAAATTCTCTAAATAAAACATGCTCCTTACGTTCTAACATTGAAAAATTAGGTTCACTAGGTCGACCCAGAATGATAGAAACTTGGGATCTTATATAGGTTAACAAGTCATCCCCATGCATGCACCGTAACACCTAATTATAAACCCAAAATCTAAGCACTAATCTAGAGTGCATTAATGTCTTTAAACAAAAGTACCTACAGGTAACCTTAAGATATAATTAATTATGTAGGCTTTCACCCATAAAAAATAATAATTCACTTCATTTAATATAAAAATTAGATAGAAGAAATCTTTAAGTGAAATAAACTACCATTAAAAATTATATATTGCTCAAAATCCAATCCATAGACTCCAAAAGTGCCCTCAAGCTTATGAGTACTTTCAGGGACCACACTTTTTTACAACTAATCTTCTTATTATATGTTTGTTACATTTAAATACGCTTCTTAGAGATTTCTCACAATTTAGTCTAATTCTTAAATGTTTGTTACAACTATAATAGGCTTTTAACAAGTTGATAATTGGATTATTAAATTGTCATATATTACTTTTAGTCATACAAAATTATTTACTTTTTTGTGTCATCCAATTATACTTAACCTACAATATGAAGTTCTAAAACTGACACTGATGTGTGTAAGAAACTTTAAAATTCTCTCTGTAAAGTTTCTTCTATACATCATATTTGTAAATTTTTATGTATTTTTACTTTCATTTAAATTTAGTTTTACCTTGGCATGTTATGATATCTTTAGGTTTATTTTAGGTCTAGCAGCAAAATATACGAGATCGTAAGAAATTAAATGCCAGAATTTTGTAGTTGTAATATATTTTTTTCTTGCACTTTAATTGGACCTAGCTTTCATATCCAAAGAAGCCATGTTTACTAGAGGAGAAGCATCAACCTCAATCTTAGTCAGCAAGCCCAACATCATCAACGACTAAAAATGTAAAATATTTGTGGTCGTCAAGCTCTAAAGCAAGAGTATGGAACCAATAAACAATTGCTTAGGCATATAAAGAATTATGACACAATCAAGGTAAAAAAACGAGCAAGTTGTTGAAGTTTATAGAAGAGGAGGATCAATGGCGACAAAACATTAGAGCTTCCCCATAGTAGTGAATAAATATTTGTTGTTATTAAGGAAGGATTTCCCCACCAGAGTCGCCAAACTTTTGTGTTTGGGTCTCAAGATAAAGAGTTTACCATCCCTTTACATAATCCTAGTAATAATGATAGATGTGTTGCAATTTTAAGAACTGATTATAATTCAAGGAAGAAGCTACACTTAGCAAAGTCAATAGCAAGCCGATCATCCTTTCTTGATTAGATTTGCTACAAGTTCACTGCTTCTTCACTTTCAGCTAAGGAAATTTACAACTTAACAAAATGGCTTTTATGTCAATTTTGAAAAGAAAGTGCACTGCCATATCCATTCATTTTTGAATTTCTTTTGAACTGACTAATGATTGAAGAGATTTCTAAAAAGAGAACATATGTAGATCATTTGAGAGCTTTGTTGAAAAGCTCCTTTGAAATGGTTTATCCACCATCAATAGCTACAAGCCTATAGTTAAAGGCTTCAATGGTGACTAGCACCTAACAACTCCACCATAAATGACTAGAAGCAAAAAACTTTAACATTGTCACCTAAGAGGAAGTAACTTGTGAGTATTCAAAGCACCAATTAAGCATGTAGCCCATTGTGTTTAATTGGCTCGGTTGAGTTTGATTTAATAAAAATTTGATGTCCTTAATGAGTTGGTAGTGAGTCAAACAAATATTTCAAATAATATCATCAAGCTTGAACAATATGCTACAAAATATTAACCAATACAAAATAAAAAAAAATAATGATAAAAATTAACAATCTAAGCTCGACTGTGGATTGCTCGCTTAGTTTGAACGCTTTTGCACCCTTATTAACATCCAACTGGATCTACTCAACAATCAACCGATAATACATCGAACCTCTACATGGCACCTCGGCCATGGAAAGAGACCAGGCATACCTCATGTCCCTCGACTAGTATGATGAGAAAGAAAGATGGATTACACAAAGTCACAATGAAGAGAAGAAGTCAACTGACCTAAAAACTTAGTTAACTCTTTCTAAATCGTAGCTCAAAAAGTTTATAAATACCTCATACAACAGCGTAAGGATCATTTGCCACAAGGAACCCTTAATGCCTCTAAGAAAGCTAACACCCAAAGCCAAGTCTCCAGAGCCACGAGTAAACTGCGAACCTTCGAAAATACAAAAGAGCGAGACACAACTAGTTTTCTCTCTCAATATTCCTTTCCCTACATCTCTCATTGTCTATTCTCCATCACCAATACCTCCATCACCAGAAGTAACTCTACAATCAGATCTACCTAACCCCCAAGCTGTCGAATCCAAGTCTAACAATTAACATAACCCTAAAAAACTCCCCATTTTGAGATACGGATAACTCCAATGTCAGCCAAAACCATGATATTATCTATGGATTCATAAAAATTGAATACACATATTAGTTATTTCTACACAGGATAAACTGTCAGTCATTGAAAAATACAATTTTTCTCCTTCTTTTCACAATGTAATTCGAGCAGTGTGCTGAATGAATAGGAATTTCTTCTCACAAATATTAATAAAGTTTAAGTTCTTGTCTCTAACACGCAAGCTCAAATAGTTCAGTTCGTAAAAAGAGCATAACTTAACACACATGACGAATTCCCCCAAAAAAAAAAGTGAAAACGGAGCGACTCTCCAGATTCTATCACAGCTGCGAGCTATATGGTAACCAGCAGAAGTTATAATTGACTATAGTAGGAACTCACCCGGCCATTTGAAAGCCCAGATGCAATGGCAAGCGCGATGCTAGGTTTTTCTGCAACCTGCCGAACAGAGAAAAAAAAAAAAAAAAGAGGGCGAAGATTGGAGAGTTAAAAGGAGAGCAAGAAAGAGATAGAAGGAAGGAGAAACGGCCATTATCTCACCATCAAGACTTTGGGCGCCATTGTAACGAGACCAGGAAGAGAAGACGCCGGAGCTGAGCCCGTCGACGGCGATTAACCGGTGTACAGGCCGAGACTTCATAAAAACAGGCCTCATTTTAACTCTTTTTAATTTTCTTTTATTTAAGGTGGATTTACATACACACCACATAGTTTTATATATTTACATATTTCATTTCTAAACTTTAACATATATATTCATAACATTTAAATTATTATATTCACATTAAAAAATATCATTTTTTTATTAATTTTATAAAAGTCAAATGCATCTTTTTACAAGTAGACTATTGCACGGTATTATTCTAAATATAAATATCAAAATTTAGGTATAATATATGTAGAACAACAACAACAACAACAACGCCTTAATCCCATTACGTGGGGTCGGCTACATGAATCATTTTTCTCCATTACGTCTTATTTATTATTTAGTGTCATTTACGTCTTATTTAGTGTCATATTTTCATTTTGTTCTAGTAAATTAAGATCATTTTTTATACAATAAACACAAGTTTTTCTCGGTCTACCTCTGCTTTTCTTAACACAAGTCGAATCAAAAACATCTACTCTCTTAATTGGATCATCAGATAGTCAACGTATAATATATGTACATTAATAGAAATTATGTGTAGGCATATATACTTCTCTTTATTTAATTATTTATTTTTAAATGACTTTGAGAAGGTTTATTAAATATTAAATGAGTGTTATTATCTGACTCCATCTAATTAAATGACATAATTAACAAAATGTAATCCATTTCCAAAATAAAATTTCTATATTCTTTCTATATTCAAGCAGGCACATGATCCATAGGAGATTATTTGATTTAATGTTGTTATTTTAAATATCATTAATATCTAAATACTAAATAACAAAATATGAACAGTGCCTAAACATTAATGAATTTTGTCGGGCATAAAATTAAGTAACATTGGCTGATACTTGATAGATAACAAATGCAGACAATTTATAGCTTCTTAGGTAAAAGATGAGAGTCATTGATTGATAATGGACTACGATCAATATAAGTTGATACAGGTCAAATGCTGTGAAGTATTGGTGATGCACGCCAGTGTATGTGTCGTTTAAGTAGTATACAAAACTGAGTCCGTGTGTTAATTCCATAAGGAATGACCAAACTCTCAAAGTCCGAAAAAAATTTCTAGCTTACTATTTTCGAATATGGCATAAGGTTTGAAGTTCTGTTATTTTTAAAAGCTATTAATCTAAATTTTTGAAGATGTAAAACCTAAGTTAAAAAGAAGAGAATGTGGTGAGGTTTGCAAAAACTTAAAATTTCTCCCCTAAATTGGTTATGTGAGATTCTAAGTTTAACTATATGATTCACATTATGAGTGATAATCAAAAACAGTTCTCGTCTTTATCCCCCCTGGGTCATCAAAGACGGTTTGGTAATCATACATGTTTAGTTAATTAAATCAAATGATTGGCCAATGATCCTTTATTTTCTTTCATGAGTGCACTAATGTAGAAGTAATATTTCTATTTTCCCAAACTAGTGTGAATTAACCTAATTATTCCACTAGTTTTGCCCTCGCACAACTAAATTACAACATATTTGAATTCCACAATTGGTTTGATTGTAAATCAATTAAAAGAAGAATGTTAATTAATCACCACTTTCAATCTATGATTTAATCACATGAAAAAGTCAAACTCAAAAATCCTACATCACTAATTCAATAAAGAAAAGACAATCTACTAGTTATTCGTGTTTGTAAACAACACGATAATTATTTCATTCAAAAGAAAAATCAAGAATAAGAGTATAAAATTTAAGCATATGGTAATCATCAAGAAAATGCAACACTTGTATTTCTTCCTTCTTCAAACCACATATTCAAAATACACGAGCAATTACAAAATCAAATCCTCACAGACGCCACACTAGATGTTATCTCACACTTAGGCTTAGCTTTGGAGCCCTCCCATTGCATTCGAATGCATCATAATACCCCACCCCCCCCCCCCTCTTGTCCAAAGTGTTTTTTTCATTATCCTTCGCAAATCGACACCTATGAATCGTCTGAACCTCCAAAATGTGTGAACTAGCGCTTAGGTGTTGGTATGAGGTGCTTATGCACTGGGCAGCAACGTATAAGTGTTGTAGGTTCAAGGCTTCTTTTTCCATTGCTTGGGTCACCATGTTAGGGGATTGGGCATCTAGGTGCCCCTCCATGGCGCCTAAGCATTGGTTGATGGTGCCTATGCGCCTCAGGTGGGCGCTTATTTTCTGGTTTCTTTATTTTTGTAAAAATATGCATTTGCTTTAACATAATTAAAAAAATACAAAAACTATGCAAGTATGCATCTATGATGTACAAAAGGACCAATCATTTATAAGTATAGTAGATAGTTCCTGATCATCATATATATATGAATCAAAATAAAGGAACCACTAAGGCCACACTTGGCAAAATAATTAGCGACCCTATTTGTTTATCAAATTTTGTTGGGAGATTAGGTTTCTTGGTTGGTATCTAGACACTGCTCCCTTATCACATCCAAACTTTTAAAGTCCCATCAACTAGCTCACCAATATTCTACAAAATACATCACAATCTCCTTCCAAAAGTATAAATTTTTTACAAAATAAAATTAAAAATAATATATATAAAATCACATTTCTGATACACAATAAATTTCTCCAAACTTACAAGTTACTTATCCATAAGTAAACTCATATCTAAATCGACTAAACTGAATAATTTAGTAGTTTTCATTTGAAAGATTACTTACACTTCAATAAATTCCAATAAATACTTCTAAACATATGCAAATATCAAAAAAGAATTGGGTTTTCAATAATTCATAATAATTTAACATTTCCTTAATTATTTCTTTCTCTCGAATAAAAATATTAAAACACTCAATTTAGTTTTACTTAAATAAATTCAAGATCCAAAGATAACTAAACTCTAATGAATTATCAATAAAATTCTCCCAATATTTATTAATTTTCTCCCTGTCGGCCGCCAAATATGGGGTTGTTAGTTTTGAAAATATAATAAATATATATATATATATTTTTTTAAAAAAAATATGTGACCGAACCAATCTCATATATTTAATAGCTTAAATAAACGAGCACAACACCGCAAGTGATGAATCTATTCCAAGAAATGGATACATTGTTCGATAGTAAAGCTCGATTAAATAAATTATAGAATATATGACATTTGTGCTGGCTGTGAAATTATTCATGTTAACCAATAAATTCTCCTATTTAATATAAAAGACTAAATAGGATTTATATTAAGCTGGGTTCTAAAGTTTATTATAGAGGCAAGCCCCCATATTTAATTACAACTTAAGTGACCTAAGCCGCTTAAGAATACTCTTGATTCAGATCAGTGGTTTTGCCTTCATGATTTTCTAAGTTTAAGTTTTCAAGATTGGACATTAGAAATTCAAAAGGGAATGGATCAAAAGTGTAGCAGTTATTTTCATAAATCCAAAGGAATGAAAGGTAGGAGATGTCACTGATCCGAGAGAAACTTCGGTGACTTCTCAAGTTATGTTATTTGTTTGGCTTTAACTTTGAGAAGATATTATTTGATGTTTCATCCTGCCAATTTTATTTACTTAGGGCTTACACTTTCATACAAATAACCTGAAAGATATGAGGGTTTATGTCGTAACGAACGACAACCTAGGAGCCTAAGTCAAGTTAGGGCTTAAATTGCACAGCATGACTGTGCAAAAGCCTAAAAGATGAGTTAAGGATTTACGTCGTACTAGATGTACTACATCGAAACCTTATGGCTTGTTGTTTAAGCTAAAAAGTGATTTGTTGATGATGATCTAGCCTGCTCTCCCGAAGATGTTCTTCTGTATATTCTTGTCATGTTGCCCACAGTATTAGCTCCAAGCTTCTTGTTGAAGTGACAGTCTTAAGGTCTATGGTTCAAGAAGTTTTACTATGTGTGTTTTAATGTCAAGTTTTGTTGTTGTTCAAGTATCATGAGGGTTAAAATTGATTAGAGCGACACTGGTTAGGATCCCACGTTCTCTCATTTCGGTTCACTATTTGCTTTTGAATTTACTTAGTATAAACGAGTTATTAAGTTCATTTAAATTGAGGAGATCTCGTTTGCAACCTTGGGTTACCTGATCCGGGGTACTCCCGTAAATTCAAAAGAACGTATTATGTTGTTTTTTTGTTTTTGAAAATGTTGGTTAGTTTTGAAAAAAAATTATCTTAATTTTGAAAATTATTTGTTTTGACTTTTAAAAAGTGTTTCAACCAAACATGTATGATACATTAAAGTAATAATAAATTGCATAAATAAAATGACACTAAATAAATTATAATTGCGTACCTGTCATCTTCTCGCAGCTTCGGCTGAAATATTAGCATTCATAAAGCATAATATACTTACAAGAAATTTAAATAAATTGTAGAGGAGTAAAGCAGAAACATCCAATACAGAAAAGTCAAAAAACAAATGACGGTTTAGGGTTTAGGGTTTTCTGTATTGGATGTTTTTTGACTTTTTTGTATTGGATGAGTGTAAGACATCGGTAAAGTTGAGGGCTCAGAGCTGGATTGTATGCTTCCCAACCTTGAGTAAGAGTTACCAACCCGATCATCTACGAAAGGAAGCTCTAACCTCGATTCAAGTGATTAATCGTGGAAATTTACAAATTTTCATTTGAATTTAATTTTCATGCATACACAATTTTATCATGCAAAAGAGACTTTTGTTTAAAATATTTTGCAGAAAGGTGCAGTCCTTAGGTTAATCAATCTAATCGAGTTAGGACTACAGGCAACCTAAGAATATCGATGACAATCATCTTCTCAAGAGTCGTCGAATAATATCACTGGTTCTTATTCTCTCATTTTATTAAAGATCCTTGAGGTAAGTGATACTATTCTAAAATCCTACATCGTATCTTTCGTTTTAACACACATTAGCATTATCGTCATTGCCCTAGCCACCTAAACCTTAGACTTACACAAGTTTGATGATCCATATGTGGCACAAACAAATATCGACATTCGCTTACAAGGATTTAAATACCTCGGGGAAGACTTAAATCATTGAGCATTGGGTTATTAATGTTGGATAAGTA